CCCCAGGTGACCCTTCCTCTATTCTGCACTATTTAAGAAACAATTTGGTGGGTGGGGGACAATATATTCAACACTTTGCAGGTACTCCTCGACTTACAATCATTCATTTGGTGACCATTCAAAGTTACAATGGCACTGAAAAAAAGTGACTTATGACCATTTTTTCACACAACAATTGCAACATCCCCATGGTCCAATGATTAAAATTCAAATGCTTGGCAACTGACATGTATTTATGACATTGCAAATGTCCTAACCATGTCCCAATCACCAGTTGTGACCTTCTGATAAGCAAACTCAGTGTGGAAGCCAGATTTGCTTAACAACAGTGTTACTAACTTAACAACTCCAGTGATTCACCTAACAACTGTGGCAAGAAAGTTCATAAAATGGAGCAAAACTCACTTAACAACTCTCTGGCTTAGCAACAGAAATGTTGGGCCCAGTTATGGTCAAAATGTCAAAACTGACTCAATGCCATAGTTACACCTGCTATTGTTCTCAGTTTGCCAAACAGCAGGTTTGTGTGTGGGACGTAGGTGAATTCCTAAGGAGGGAGGGATGCTCCAGAATGCAAGATGTTTAGGCACCAAGGTCAAGTTATAGAATGTTTGAGCAGCACAGACAATCTTTTCCCCCCAAAAAACCAAACTGAACCCAATTGGTGAACGATGAATTGTAGGTGGCCTGTAGGGGGAAAAGGGGTTTTACCTATGTGGGTTTTTGTGGCAAAATCCAAGAACTGAGTTTGCTTCTGTTGTACCTAGAGATATCTTTCAATCTAAAGGAGCTGAGAGCTTCTTTGATTGAATATGCCGAATGGGATGGTTAACATATAAGTCAAGGACTACCTGTATTCCTCAAACAGATATTTGGGAGAGGTACAGCTTTCCCTCTTTCTTATAAACGCTTTAATGCTCTTTTCTAACAACTTTAGGACAGGAATGTATCTGCAGGTGTATGCAACTAAACAACATGTAGGTTGAAAAAGGTTAGAGTGCCAATTAAAAGGGTGAACTTTTGATATTGTTTAATAGTTCAAAACAATTGGTATTCAGTGGTTGATAATTAATAGGTAATACTATCTAGACCAGGGATATCAAGCTCTATTTTACTGAGGGCCATATCAGGGTTGTGTTTGACCTCGGGAGGGCTGGGGGCATGTCCAGCTCAACATCACTCGTGTTGGGGGTGCCTGTGTTGGCCCAAGCACTCTGTCAGCAAAAATGAGCTTTCAAGCTTCGTTTTTACACGTGACAGCCTCCTGCAATCCTCTGCCAGCAAAAATGGGCTCTCAAGCTCCATTTTCATTTGCGATGGCCTCCGGAAATCCTTTGCCAGCGAAAACGGAGCTCCATTTTTGCTGGCAGAGGCCAAGTGGGCCGGTCCTTTGCTGTTTCTAAGACAGCCCCACAGGCCAGATCTAAGCACCCCAGCACATGGGCCTTGAGTTTGGCACCCCGTTCTAGACTGCCATTATGTGGCCTTTGAGACCACAGCAGTGGAAAGCCGCCATCTCCCCACAAGGTTAGAGATTTCTTCCTTGGTGCTTTCTGAGGTTGGAAAATTCCAATCTTTGAAAGTTATGAAAGGAGATGCAGAGTCCTGGATAGGATGTGAGGAGTTTTGGATCCAATCCTTGTACAATCTCCTGCCACATCCCCAAATTAGGGCAGAAATGTGGACAGCATGAGAGCTGCTCTAAATTAATTTCTCTTTTCCTGCAAGGGGAGCTATATTTTAGGAGAGAGTAGAAAAATGCAAACATTTTTCTATCTTCATTTCCATCCCTTTGGTCTGTAGCTGACAGAGCACTGGATATATTGGCGTGCTTAGCATGAGCTCATGACTGCCAGTATCAAAAAACATTTCATCGTTGACACACAGTCACCCTTACATGCAGTATGCATTTGCTTTGGCTGAATCCTCAGTTAGTAACCAAAATGGACACATCAAAGCTATTCTGACCTCTTCCAATATGTATTTTATCAAAGATTTGGAATCATTTCAGAGCTTCAAAGGGTGCTTTTTTTTGGTTCTTTTCCTGTCCACTCAACATATTTCTGAACTGTCTCTAAACTCTCTACAAAAAGTAAACTTCAAGTTGGGAGCAAGGAAAGAATGTAGTCTGGTGATCGGTAGCATCCAGCCATATAATTCACTTCAATTTAAATTTATTTTTGGTTGCAGGCCAAAATTTTGTTTTAATTTTTAATTCCAGCAGCAAACCGTACAATAAAGTAAAAATGCCTAAAAGGTAAAATGGGTAATTAATTGCTTTTTAATATAGAAAGCAGTCTATCAGATTTTATGTATACTTAGAGTTTCTTTATATTTGAACCTTTTTTAAATGTTCAAAGAATTTATCAGGTAATAGAAAAACAGAGTATTAGTTTCATAGAATAACTAGAGCAGTTTGAAGGTGTGGTATTAATTCTGGAGGCCCTGTATGGACAGCTCAGCAAATAGCGATTCAATATTAGGTCTTTAAAGGAAAGGTTACTTTATTTCCCTTCCAGAATTTTGATTTCATTGATGATGAAAGTAAATGTCTATGGTGAAAACAGCAAAGATGTCATAAGCACCTTTAGGAATAGGGGCGGAAAACCTGAAATTTTACAGGGGTAATAAATTCTGCTGCTATTGTTCTGCAAATTTCCATCTGGGACATGTTGCTTGACCTTTTCTAGAACTCTCAGACCACAGTATTCTCAAGGATTAGCTAAGAATCTACAATAAGACAAATCTATGTTTTTTTCCTCATGAGGAATCAAAACATGTTGACAAGGATTACCTGGTTTAAGATTCTGTCAGGCCCCAAGAACCATACCTGAATAACAGAATAATATAGTTAGAAAGGACCAACCCCTGCTCAAGCAGGAAATCTTATACAATTTCAGACAAATGGTTATCCAGTCTCTTCTTAAAAACCCTTCAGGTTTACTTATGAGTAGTTTCTTTTATTGTTCTTCACTTGCAGACAGAATCTTGTCAGACTAAAGCCATTGTTTGTATAACTACAGAAATATTGGATCTAGAAAACTTAGAACTACACCGCCTACAGTCTGACCTAAGCTTAATGCACAAAATTGTCTGTTACAGCATTCTACCTGTCAATGACTACTTCAGCTTCCACCACAATAACACTCGGGCAAACAATAGATACAAATTCAAAGTAAACTGCTGCAAACTCGATTGCAGAAAATACGACTTCAGCAACAGAGTGGTCAATGCCTGGAACTCACTACCTGACTCTGTTGTTACATCCTCAAACCCCAAAACTTGAACCTTAAACTGTCTACCATGGACCTCACTCCATTCCTAAGAGGTCTGTAAGGGGACGTGCATAAGCGCACCAGCATACCTACTGTCCCTGTCCTACTGTTCCCATTCATCCATTTATTCATACTCTTTTATTACGTATATACTTATACCTGTTTATACTTATATGCTTATATGTTATGTTCATACTTATACTCGTTTTCTCATACATGCTTGACAAACAAACTAAATAAATAAAAATAGAAATAGGAAAGTCTTCCTAACAACAGTTTTACCTGCCACAATACAGAGGTGGTATTCAGCAGGTTCTGACCAGTTCTAGAGAACCGGTAGTGGAAATTTTGAGTAGTTTGGAATACCGCCTCTGACTGGTCCCACCCCCATATATTCTCTACCTCCCAAGTCCCAGCTGATTGGCTGGATCTTCTTTTGTTGCCCTGCACAGGAGAACGGAGCTGGAAAGCAGGTTAGTGGGGTGGGAATGGAGATTTTGCAGTATCCTTCCTCTGCCACACCCACCAAGCCACGCCCACCAAGCCACACCATGCCCATCAAGCCACGCCCACAGAACCAGTAGTAAAATATTTTGAATCCCACCACTGCCACAATAACACACCAGATACAATAATTTATTTGTCCCAGTGAATCAACTAATGTTTTTGTGTACTAGTCCTATGTCTTTTTGTGATGCTTTCCCCTTTAGGAACTTTTTCCTTTGTACCATCATTCAAATATCCAGACATGGCATGTTGCTTCATCCTGGAGGAGAGGAATTCTTTGTGTGATCTTTTAAGGGACTTTTTTCTCCAACTTTCCAAATTTATTCATACTTCAGTGTATCTCTACAGTATTGTTTTTGCCTTCGTTAGACTTACTTAGCTCAAGCATTCCTTCAAGCATTCTCTCTCCTCACCCCACCGGGCATTTGGGGACCACTATGAACAGCTGATGGGGAAACCTGTCTACTCTCCATGGGCTCAGTTACTCTTTTGATCAGAGTTCTTTCCCTCATCACTCCTATTGGGTTGGATTCCAAACATGTCTGTTTGCATTTCCTGAAGCAATCAGACACCAGTTTTCAAAGGATTTTTATTTTGTTGACTTTAGACAAATTAATAAACCATTCACTGCATGAGAGGAGGGCGAGACAAATGACAAAGAGGTTCTTTTCCTGTTTTCTATAAAATATTTTTTTTTTATTTGTAACTCCCAGGGTCCCCATATGCCAAATAAAATGGAAAAGGGAACTGTGAACAGACATCAATAAGCCAGCTTGGAAGTAGCACAATTACAACAGAGATACCTAACACCTTGAGTTTTGTGTAGGAATTTTTTTAAACAAATCTCTCTTTCTCTAAAAAGCCTAATTTCCCTTCATTTTTTTTTTTCTTGCCTGAACTTGACTTCAAGCTTAATGCTATATCTGTTTAATAGCGGTTTACAAAATCTGATCCATTCTCTCCAATTCTAGTGAACGCTCACTGCCAGTTTATAATTCATTGGCTGGCAATGATATGTAACACCTCTGTTCTAGCCAGAGTTTTGTTCGGAAAAAACAAACAATAACGATTTATATGCTTGGAATAGAATGAATAAAAACAATCCATGTAGTTATCCTAAAAGAATCCAGGGTTTACTTTTATTGTTAAGCCAAACTTTTTTTTTTATCTTAAAGTAATTAATTGTTTAATTCTCTGTTGATTTCCTATTGTCTGTAGGCTGGCATAGATGGAGAAAGTATTGGGAACTGTCCATTCTCACAGCGTCTTTTCATGATACTTTGGCTCAAAGGGGTTGTATTTAATGTAACCACAGTTGATCTGAAAAGGTAAATATTATCAATTAAAGTAATACTGTACGTTTTTGGCCCTCTTGGAAGAATGTTTGTATAATGATATTATATTAATTTATTCCCATCTTTATTAGGAATCTTAATCTTTTCTCATGTTGATAAGAAACTCTTACCCTTTTTAATTATATGGGACTTATTTATGCTACTCAGAAAGAATGAAACAATGAATCATTACAAAAGAGGAACATTATGAGTAAGTAAAAGCATAACATGATTAAACATATCTTAATGTATTCTTCTTGGTTTCCACAGAAAGCCTGCTGATTTACATAATTTAGCTCCTGGGACCCACCCACCATTTCTGACTTTTAACGGAGAAGTCAAGACAGATATAAACAAGATTGAGGAATTTTTAGAGGAAACTCTTTCACCTCCAAAGTAATATATATTATCTTTGTTTCTGAAATATTTTATTAGAGTTATGTTAAAATTGCCAGGCACTATATAAAAGTAAATGACAAATATATCAATAACTTTGCTTATAATTAGTTTGCCTTCCTCATAGATTGTCAGTCAGGTAACAATTCTAAGTGTGTATCTCCTTTCTCTATCCTCTGAAGTCATATTTATTTGAGTTTGAATTGATGGCCAGAAATCTTAGCCATGAGTTCTTCTATTTTTAAAAATGTTCATCTGAAGTATCTTGCTTCAAATTAAACCACCGTTCCTGGGTCTCCACTTGGGAAATAAACTCAGATTCATCATCCAAATAAACTATATAATTAGTTCATTTCTCCAGTAGCTGAATGTCATTCAAGCGTATTAGACCCAGCATATGTAAGTATGAGTATTTAAGTCATGCTGAGTTGTGGGATACTTCTTCCCCCAGTACAAAACATGACATCACTTACCAACACACTTATGGTCTGTAAGATAAATGCATTTGATTTCAGGGACTGTAAGTTGTAAATTTTATTCAATAGTTTTTGGTTGCAGCTGGCAGTAGATACTAAAATCTGATTAATCTTTTAAGATTATGATTCTCAGCCCACAGGCAACTTTTTAAGAATTACAACACACTTTTCAAAATTCTATTTCTATGTAGAACTTTAATCACACATCTCTTTAAGTGCACACATACTGGGAGCCTCCCTCCACTTTTTTTTCCTGTTGTTACACTGAAAAGGACTATTATAGCTTGGACTGATTTTTAGCAGAGGGAATTAAGCAATAGGCTACATTTACAATAAAATGAAGCTGTGTACTGCCAAACTCCTCCATATCATTGAAGATATATGGCTTGTTCTGATATAAAATTACAGTTCTTTGGTTTCTTTGACTTTAAGCATTGGTGCAATTAACCTTGTCATAAAACCCCCGGCGGTGTGACTTAAAACTAGTTGGCTTCCTATGGCACCACTCATTTTCAGCAGGGTCCTGTAAGGCTGACATGCTGAGATAAGAGGCAGTTTTAAAATAAAAATTGATCTTCAGAAATGTTGTTTTGTGTTCAAGCAGCACTTGCCAGGAACAAAATGTGTCTTTTAATGGTGTATTTTTGTGTGTGCATGTATTTGTGAAGTTTTGTTTTTACTTTCCTGGGAACTTTATTTTTTAAAAACCACCTCTTTCTATTTACAGATATCCTAAGCTTTCAGCCAAGCATCGTGAATCTAATGCTGCAGGCATAGACATATTCTCCAAATTCTCTGCCTTTATCAAAAACACAAAGCAGCAGGACAATAACAGTAAGTTGTGAGAGAAGAAGCCACTGCATGTGCTTCCTCTGCAGATCTATGGAATACTCTCTTTCTCTGATGATGAAGCATTCTCTTCACTTCTCCATGACCAACGTCTACATTTTGCCCACTTCGCTTCCCTCCCCAATCCTCAGCCTTTGTTTCTCTTCCTTCACTTTTTGGCAGTTCTTTAGGCACATGAAAATGGTCACTCAAATGGGCAATTTTAGTTGGGGCATGTATCCATAGTGTATTTTATAGATAGAAGAAGAAATATTATTGCCATTTGTGAATGTGTATTATTGCCATTTGTTCCTATCTCATGTTGCTTTCTTACAGTAATTTGGATGTGGATTTGATTGCTGAATGTCTAAGCTGCAGGGACTTCTTCCAAGGGCCAACTGTAGAATAATATTGATAGCTCAGTCACCTTTGGGTAAACTTTGCTTAAATCAGACTGTGAATTGATGTTAGTGGCTCTTAAACTATCCTGATAGGGGCAGAATGGTGTTGAGAATGAAGGATGCCTTGTACACTTCCCTTGCCAATGAATTCCTCTTCCTTTTCTTGGATTGAAGGAATTTGCAGTTTCATGTTTTGCATTATTTGATATTTTATTTATATTTGTTTTTACCTCTTTTCATAAAGAAATCGTGAATGTTGGCAAATTCTCAACTCAGTCTAACATCCCCATTTTTAGATGGTGGAAGAAGGAACATAATTCTGTTTAATGGTAATAATATGAATGTGATGGTGAATCCACATTAGGATAGTAAAATTCCTTTCACTCAGTTGAGCCCTACAGGAATTCATGTAACAGTTTCCTGGATTTTCAGTCCTTTCTCTCTTTTGTTTGATTAAGTTTGCTGTCTTGAAATATACAAATTGAAAAGTCTGGAGCAGCCTGGCTAGGACTGTAAACCCAGAAGCAAACACATATCAAAGTTCCACAATTTTTAAGCATCTTGAAAGTGAGGGAATTGATTCCAGATTTTCAAGTTGTGGCAAGCTGTGTTTAAAGAAAGTGTGCATATTTATTATTTCAAGCCAGTTCAATTACAGCCAACTTGATTCCATCTACCCCCCAACATCACCCAAATCATTTTAATAACAGGTTTTTCTAAGGCTTGATCTTCACCACATACCATCATAGACTCTGCTTTGACATTCTCTGTAAAGTCCTGGTGCTGTAGTTGCCATAAGTATATATTCATTTCTGATCCAAGAATAAAGAATTCTAGGAAGATACACATGGGAGGATACTCAAAATCAGTTTTTTTAGAATCTTCTCTTTGAGTGTCCCCTAGAGTTTCTTTCTTTCTTTCTTTCTTTCTTTCTTCTTTCTTTCTTTCTTTCTTTCTTTCTTTCTTTCTTTCTTTCTTTC